TGCATCATTAGAATCTTCAAAGGCTATGTTAACTCCCTGCTCACCTTTTCTGGTTGGCCTACCGTACACTGATTTCTGAAGTGACCACTCTGTTTGCAATTCCAGCATGTAATAACTTTCATGTTCTTCGATTGCCCTCTTTTTCTGAAATTCGATCTACCTCGTCCTTTATTTTGCCCCCTACCAGATCTTCTACCACTCCCTTCTGCACTCAGCAAGGAACGTAAACTTTTACCTGATTCCTTCTACGGATATCCTCTTCGAGAATCAGATCTCGAATTCCTTTAAACGTAAACTTAGTAGTTCCAGTTGAACTACTAACAGCTATAACCGTGCCAGACCAACTCTCGGGTAAAGAAGATAATAATAACAGCGCTTGTACTTCATCATCAATTTGAATGTCAACAGAGACTAACCTTGTCAATATTGAATTGAATTTTCCATTTCGAATCATATTCCTACGAAAGAAATACTTCCATGTTGGGATTAGTTACTAGTTCAAATTTGATACAAATTTATGTTTTTGATTCCTTATACGATTAGATCTTATGTCAACAAAGAAAACCCCATTCGTCAATACTCCAACACTCCACTTTTGTCATATATTCTACGGAATGTATCGTCAAATATTCAATATGATTGAAGATCACTAGACGTTTCGAATAAAAGACGATGAGGCGGCACCCAGATTTGAACTGGGGAAAAAGGATTAATTACCATGAATCTCAATGACCAAGAATTGCCAATTGACACGGAACTTACCCGACAAGGAATTTCGCTACCTTAGGACCGTTATAGTTACGGCCGCCGTTCACCCCCGCCTATTTGTACAGATATGGTAGAGGGGCCTTGGGTGAAACTAAGTGGAGGTCCGAACCGACTGGCCTTTATGACACAATTAATAATTCGATTCATTTTCAATAGCCACACTGGGACTGAGACACGGCCCAGACTCTGATGTGTGACAAACGCTCCTTCCATCATCTTCCTATTCACCGGTTGGTGGATCAGAAAAACCTTATTCGAAGCACTAGGTTTTTCATACATGTTGGATAACTCCTTCAGCAGTCCATGTGTAGTCTTCTCGCTAACAATATTGTACGCGACATTCTTTGCTAACGATAATCTGACCACACCCAATGCCTGATGGTCTTACAAGATCGGCTTGTTCCATCTTTTCTAGTTTAGTCCCAGACAACGGTTCATGAAGTTTCTTTTTTTTTACAAGTAATCTTCGATTTGCATCTTCCAGAATCCAAAACCGTGGTCATCGAACTTGTCTATCTTTACTTTTTCGTCTTCTGCCATTGCTCAAAACAAACTGTCTTCTGTTCGACAGATATTGTACTACCTCTGGACCTCTAATTGACGATCCAACTGTCGAAAACGTAGATACAGATGTTATGGAGTTACCATCCAAAAATCAAGACGATCTGGCCGTTCAATATCAGGTAATAGGAAAAACGGAGCGGTTGCACGTTGCCCGAATATGTTGCCGATTTTTCTTTTCTTTTCTTCTTGCTCTAATACCGGTTGGTAGGAAACGATGTTGAAGAACACGCATATAAACACGGAAACAGTAAAGTAAAAGCAGAAAAAGAGAAATAGCACACAGGATTTACGTGGTTCACTTGATCGGTTTGATCAAACTACTCGAGGGCCACAATAGTAAGGATTTCTATTGATATGACGGCTAGGGTTTACAATTACATAAGATTGAATTTATAGAGTGAAAATAGGTTAAACTCCCATGTTGGCCAGACCCAAGATCTGGAAAGTTTCCTTTCTCCAATATTTGGTCCAACTGCTAATTAATCAGACTTCATAACTAATCATCTAGCCTTGGTTTTGTGTTGCACCTAAATGGTGAAGGATAGCTAGAGGAGTGGACTAACAATTGGATTAGTCGTGCAATGCATTATACTTACTCGGTAACATGTTTGACTAATTGGGAAAAACAGGTTCTTAATTCGACAAGAAGTGATCGTCGAGATAAGTAATAGAGGAGTTTACAAGAGTGTTGAATGCACTTACATTGGAACGTTAGTAATATGATTTAGTAAGTTTTTTTTTTGTTTTTTTATTTTATAATTTGGACTAATATATGAAATCCTATTCTTGTCCTTTATATGACAAAAATATGAAATTCTATTGTTTTAGGGTTTTTATATTGATTAATTTTATTTGTTATTAACATTTTATTATTATTATAAATATAGAGATGAAATATGGACGCAAAATATATATAGTACACATTTTAGAGAAGGATTTGATGTTAATCAACGGGTAACTAAATATAACCTTTATAGAAGGTTCGTAAAAGCGTACCTGAATGATACTTTTAGGGAACGTTTACTAAATGTGTAACTACAAGTTATACCTCTAAAGAAGCTTTCTCAAAAACCTTCTCAGAAAGTACCTTTTAGTAATGTTTATAAATTGTCACTAATGCTTGAAAAGCGTCACTATTACATACTTTTAGAGAAGCTTTTTGAATAAAATCAAGCCATCTTTAGAGAAGCTTTGAAAACGTACCTAAAACCCTAAAAATTGTATTTAAAAGTCGACATAAGCATACCCTTTGAAAACCTTCCCTAAAACATTTAGCTACCCTTATATAGAGAAGTTTCTTGACGGAATTGAAAAACTTCTCTAAAGCTTTTAGAGAAGCTTTTTAGATTTTTGTAGTAACAGAACCTTCTTTAAAGGTCATTTTTTCTTGTATTGGCTAGGATGATCGAGAAATATTAACACATTAATTTGATTCAAGCCCCACAGAACTTCAAGAAATTTCTTGACTAGTAAGGTTTTCAAATGTCGAGATACCCCACGAACATTCAACGTTGAAATTTAGATTAAATCCATGGTAGACAAAAAGTTTTTCATTCTTTAAATCTTTATTGTCAGTGCTCTCATTCTCTCTTCGCAAGTTTGGAGGTTGTCTCTATTTTCCGATACGAGTGTGGGGGTGGGGATGGTCGATGGAGAGAAATTAAAGACATTTGCGGTTTTGGAGGATGTTGCCAATGAAGCGGAGAGAAAAGGAATTTAATTCAATTTGAGAGGGTGTGGTACGATGAATGTTTATACAATGCTTTAAATAGTTGTACACTAAGTATATTGTTTTGTACCTTTTAAGAATTTCAAGATAACTATAATTCGTCTTTTATAAATGAGTGCAAATATATGGTTCATGAATGATAATGTGATAAAGGTGTAAAATGAAAAAGTTAAAAAATAAATATATAAAGTAATTAAATAAGTAAATAATTAATTATAAGGATGTAAAATATAATTAAAGATAAACTCTTAGGCACATTTAGGTTGACTATTTTGAGAATTTAATTTTTTATACTTATATAATAAAATCCTATTCTTTTTCATGGTGGCCGGCATAAGGGATGTTTGGGATTGCTTATTTAAAATAAATTATTTTTTTCTATAAAAGTGTTTATTAACTTATTATAAGTTAGAATGGTTTAATTTTCTAAAAAACTCCTTATTACCGTTTTGATACCGGTATAAATTGTTTATCCAAACACTCAAAAGTGCTTCTTACCAAAACCACACCGAAATAAGTTAGTTGTTTTTATAAGCAATCCCAAAAACCTTAAAATTGTATAGAATGCTTTGAAATAAGGTCGTCTGAATCTTCTAACAGGTAACCCTTATCTGCTCATAATATAGTTTTACATAGAATTTTAATTTTCGACTGATATTTTGTAAAGCATAAAAGATGAAGCATATAATTGTGTGTTCCTGATCCATTGTCGACCTCCAACTCCAAATAGAAAACCACGACCTTCCATCAAAATTCCACCCAAAATCATCATCTACACTTCCTTTTATTGGAATCTTTTCATGGGTCCTTTTTTTCCCTTCTAATTCTATAAACAAATTTGAATAATAGTAAAAAAGGATCTGCATACCTTTCTTGAAATTCTGTCTCTCGATCTCCTTGTTTTCTCTCTAACCCTAGAAACATTCTTGATGGTGAGAGAAGAAGAGAGATTGAGATAAAAGAGAAATAGGGTTTATTTTTGGGTTTACAGATTCTGTAGAGGATATCAAATTGCACATATATATACCCTTTTGGTTAGTTCTTCATGTTTTACGTTTCATTCGGTATTTTCTTGTGAAATTATAACTATTTCCATACCCAAATCCTTGGGTTGATAATGGGGTTTACAATGTTGTTTCTTGATTGGATCAAAAAATGGCCAATTTTGCTGTTTTATGATTGATTGAATTGTTAATCTTTGTGGGTTGTTTCAGGCTTTGATGTTCAAAATTTTGATGGATGGAAGTCTTTTGTTTCAACTGAAATATTGGGTGAGAACTGAGATCCAAAACTTTGCATGGGTTTGTGAAGATTTAATTGATTGATAAAATATTTCCTTAGTTTGTGCTCCAGTGATTAAAGGTACAACTCATTATGTATTTTATCAAAGAATTTGCATGTATTCTTATATCTAGAAGAGGTATTTATGATGTGCATTTTGATGTGGGATTGTAGAATTTAGGGTTTGTTCTTGAATGATTTGGAAAATGGTTTGTTATATTCTTTCACTAAACAACCGTTCTATTCTTTGAGCCGAACCTAACCCGACATCATGAGGGTTATACCGGAGCTTATTTGGTTTGATTTGGTTTATAGGAATCTTTTCTTCATAAATTGCCACTCACTTGACCAAACTCAACAAGATTAATTAGGGTAATTTAGTTTAGGGATTAAATTCTTGAATATGGTTAACAAGAACGTAGTTTCGCCATCGCGTTCAGATTTTTCGCAATTAATTTTGAGCCAAACTGAATCGCAGGTATATATGCACTGGGATGAGTCCCGTTTGGTTTTCTTGGTGAAGGTAAATGAAGATAACCTCCCTTGAAAAACTTCGGTAGTGTTCTTGAATCTGAGAATCTACACGTTGGGGGAATCTTGTAACCAAGCAAAAAAGATTCGGGTTTTTTGTACCTTTAACAAAGCAAAAAGAAATTCAATGCTTTATTTGAGGTCGCCTTCGAATTATACTCCTCCTTCTAGATGTTTCGCCTCAACGAAGCAGCTTCATGGCAAAAGAAAAAGGAAAAAAGAGTATTTTACTTCCATAGAGGACAATTCGATGGTTGATCTTTCGAAGCTTTTTCTTGGGTTTAGATTTGCAAATGGTGCACATAGTCAGCTTTACCGTGGAGTATACAAGGATGAAGCCGTTGCCGTTAAGATTATCAAGATCCCGGAGGAAGAGGAAAATCAACAGCTAGGAATCCGGTTAGAGAATCAGTTCATCCGAGAAGTTGCTCTTTTATCTCATCTCCATCATGAAAATGTCATCAAGGTATTTAATTAAACTTGTTGACAGTAGAATGTCTGCCTCTTCAATTCCTAACACATGAACATGCATTCATTTACGAAAATCGTGCTAAGATTAATCTCCTAAATGCTGATGATTCGACCCATTTCGTTTGTGGTGATAGTTTGTAGCCGCATGTAGACAACCACCAGCGCTTTGTGTTATCACAAAGTATCTTTCAGAGGGTTCTCTGAGGTCGTACTTGCATAAGCTCGAGAACAATACCTTAACCAACAAAGAAAGCCGTCTTTCTTTGAAAAGGATCATTAAGATGGCTTTAGACATTACTCGTGGAATGAAATATGTTCATTCACAAGGCGTTATTCATAGGGATCTGAAGCCCGAAAACATACTTGTAAGCAAAGATTTCCAACTCAAGATTGCTGATTTTGGGATCGGTTGTGCAGAGGCAAACCGTGATCTTGTATCAGATGATCCAGGAACTTATCGGTGGATGGCACCCGAGATGATTAAAAGGAAGCCTTATGATCGAAAGGTAGATGTATATGGATTCGGACTCATTTTATGGGAGATGGTGGCGGGGGATTTACCTTACAAAGATATGACCTCGATTCAAGCGGCTTTTGCTGTCGTGCATAAGGTATGGTCCTTTTCGGTTCTCGTATTGGAATTCTATTAACTGTCAAAATTTGTACAAGATAGAAAATTTTGAAACTTTATTACATCGATTGAGAAGAAAAAAGAGATGCATTAAGTAATTATAATGCCTTTAAATATGATGTAGTTGTGGTTTGGTAAACTTGAACTCTCATTAAGTACTCTATTACGATGGCCAAAATTTATATTCAAAGGATACGCGTTTATGTAATCTTGAGACGTTTTTTGCGAATATATTCAGAGATTACGACCGCCTATTCCCGTTGATTGTCCTCTGGCAATGAGGACTTTAATCGAGCTATGTTGGTCTTCGAATCCAGGGAAGAGGCCCGAATTCTGGCAGGTTGTGAAGGTATTGGAAGAGTTTGTAACTTTACTTGTTTGTGACGGAAACGTACATGTTCTACAATCCCCGACTCCTTTTGATCAAAGAAAAAGCCAGCGTCAATGGATACAAAAGCTCGATTCTTATCATCACTCGCCCACGCCCATGCCTAAGCCGAGGTTCTCATGAAGCCTCTCGTTTCTCCGTCTTTTTAGTTGGAGAGCGAAGGGTTTTTAATTTATCAGACGATTATGTAATTACAGGTTTAGTTCGTTTTACTTACATATTTCCTATCATTTTATGTAAATATTGTTGTTTATATACGGTAGATGATAAGTCTGTATATAACTCGCCTTCTAAACTTTTACTTCAAATGGTATTTACTGTGTCAGATTGGTTTATGTTATGAAACTCAACGCATATGAATACCAAATTATGGAAATCGTAGGTGTTGCTTTTGATTTTGTATCATGACACATTCATAGGAGTATGGGGTTGTTTGATTTTTTATTCATTAAGTTCTGAATCTATTAAGTTGTCTCTAAACATTAATTTGTCCGGATATATTAAGATAAATTGTTGTTTTAATTTTTGTCCTGAATAAATAATATGAACAACATAAATGACCATTTTAACCCTATGTCTATATAAGGGGTTGTTTGACAGTTGCTGAATGGTTTGGTGCAGAATGATTAAGTGGTCAGAATGAGATTAAGAAGCTCTCATAATATAGTGCAAAATAAAATATTATTGTTTGGTAATTGTTTACAATGAAATTAGGGCGTATAATGGTTAAGGGAGACTCATAATACAAAATCATTTAGAGGGTTTTAGAACCATTGAGAGGGAGACTTTTTGTTTGCCAAACAAGATTTAACTCTTAACGATTCAGAGACTACTTCTTAATTGAACTATTAAGAGGTAAACAAATAATCTCTAAGTGTTGAATGAAAATAAATTATTTAATAAATATTTAAAATGAAAATAAAAACTAAAATAATATAAACAATATAAATTCAACGAGTTCATAAAACAATGATTAATAACTTAAAATATATGTAAAATAATTAAGTATTATTGTTAGATTATAAATTTTAATTAATGTATATTGGTGAACTATGAATTTGATGAGACGTGTGATTAATTAAAATTGTAGGGTAATGGTAATTTTGGAAAACATTTCCACTTAATATATGTATTAAGATAGGATTGGCTAACTTAACATGTTAAGTCAAATTTTTAGTATTAAATTAAAATCAAACATGTTAATATAACTTAATTAATTAAGCTAACCATGCATTAAGCTTATTAAATTAAAAACAAACACCCACTACTAGAAAACAAGGTATCAGCGAAGGAAAAAATCCCTTGTAGAACCACGAGGGATCTAACCACGAGGGAACTTTTAGCGACGGATTAGCGAGGAAAAATCTGTCGCTGAAATTCCTTGAAAATTCTCTCGTTGATCCGTCGCTGAAAGTTCCCTCGCTGATCTGTCGCTGATTTTGTTCCATCGCTGAAAGTATCCCTCGATGATTTCCGTTGCTGATCCGTCGCTTTTTTGTGTCGCTGATAGCATTACCTACGAGCATTTGACCGACAGACTATCAGCGACGGATCAGCGAGGAAAGACCCTTTTAGCGACGAATCAACGAGGGAATTTTCCCTCACTAATACTCTTCATTTTTGTAGTGACCCTTAAGTTATATATTATCTTTCAAATTAGTTTGGGTACCTGCACTATGTGTCGGGATGTCAAATTGTTTTATAAATCAAAGATATGAAGTTTAGAGTCGTTATAAACTCCAAAATTAATATAATTAAAATACAATTGTATTTACAAAAGGAATGAAACCTAAAGTGAAATGTTATTTCAAATCTTAAGAAGGAATCCAAAATTAAATATTATTTCAAACCCAAATAAAAGAATCAAAGTTAGGGGGTGTCGTTTGGAATTGCTTATAACAACAACTTATAAACTTATTTCGGTGTGACATTGGTAATAAGCATTTTTGAGTGTTCGGATAAACAACTTATACCGGTCCTAAACCGGTAATAAGAACTTTTTAGAGAAGTTAAACTCTTTTAACTTATAATAAGTTGATAAGTGTTTTTGTCAAAAAAACATAAGTTGTTTCAAATAAGCAATTCCAAAATCTAAAACTATTCATAATATAATATGATTTGTAAACACTACAAAAATGTTGGGTATCAGCGAGGGAAAATTCCCTCGCTGATCCGTCGCTGAAAGTGCTTTCCGTCGTTGATCCGTCGCTGATACTCCGTCGGTCAAAATGTCGTAGGTAATGCTATCAGCGACGGATCAGCGATGGAAATCAGCGACGGATTTTCGACGGACACTTTCAGCGACGGATTTGCGACGGACACTTTCAGCGACGGAT